CCTCCCGCGGCGCCCTCACCCATGGCCAACAATTGTTGACCTCCGCCGCTCCACCCGATGCACCTATCCCACAGCACCGTTTTTTTTCGTCCAATAGTATGCGTCGCCGCACTCGTCTCTATCTTCAATTTGTGGGTTGTCATATACCGTAAATGTTGTCCGCCTCGCACTCAATTCTTTCACATGTTTTTGTTCCTCCGAATAAAGCTCTAAGCTCTGTGGTGATCTTTGCTGTCGTCCTCTTATTGACGACGACAAAGAAAGATAATAATGTATATTTTTGTTAAACAAAGAAGTTATATATATATATATATATATATATATATATATATATATATATATATATAATTCTATGTGTCGGTGAGGTTACGACCGTTGAACGGTAGGGAAATTCTGAGGAACGATGTTTCGGATTGGGAATGCATCAATAACGAGACGATTATTTACAAGAATTCCGCTCTCTCTGCCTCGGAGAGATCAATGTACCCCACTTCGCATATACATTTGGTGAGTGTGATTTTTTCGGGATTTCGGGTTTTCGAATTTTGTTTAATTTTACTTTGATTGATGATGGTGTTTCAGACAAGATCATAACGATAATTACAGGTGTGGTTTTGGCAGTATTGACCACATCTTTTGGTGTAACTGGTTATTCTTTACCTCGGGACCAAATTGGTTATTGGGCGGTAAAAATTGTAACAGGTGAGAGACACATTAATTTTGTCCTTTTTATAAATTATAGAATACTTAATTATTTTCCAACTATTTACAGAATAGAATTTGGCTTAATTCCACTTTGCACCCTTAAAAAAAATTAATAGCATTTTGCACCCTCGAAACACAATAAATCATTCACAATGTACACTGAATTGAATATTTAAACTCAGTGAGGGTGTTTTCATTTTTATTTATTTTTTAAAATATATTTATAGGGTGCAAAATAACAAATAAAATTGTTACTTTCTTCCACCTGAAACATAATTTCGAATGCAAAATACGAAAAGCACAAAATCTCAAAGAATTACTGTAAAAACTCTATGTTCGTACAAAAAAAAATCACTGAACTATTCAATTGATGGACTTTTATATTGTAATTAGTAAATACATTTGGTAGAAATCTTTGGAAGAAAATATAATTTTCAAATAGTTTAATATCTAAATAGCTGAGGATATTTTTTGTTCTTTCTGTCTTTTGTAAAATATTTTTTTTGGTTGAAAAAAACAATTTAATGTGTTGATGAGATGTTTTTTTTTTCACTTCATAGTTTCAAAAATATTGATAAATAGAAAAATTAATTTGACATTTGACGTTCTAAAAACTATCACTAAAAATATTAAATTACTTTTATTAACTTTAAAAATTCATCCAGGTGCATCATGAATGATTTATCCTGTCTCGAGGGTCCTAAGTACCATAAAAAAAATTTGAGGGTGCAAAGTAGAACTAAGCCGAAGAATTTTCACTATTTTTTTTTTTATCTTCTTGTAGTCACATTTTTTAAATGTTGATATAAATTTCAGGGAATTATATGATTTATTAGGCCTTTCTTTGGTAGGTCCCACGGATTTGTTTTTATGCTGCACCAACCTCCTCACACATATATAAATAATTATTCACGTTAATTTGCAGACAAATAATATGTATGTTTGCATGTTAAATGAGTTCTTATATGATGCAAAATTATCTCCTTTATTTGATTTCATCAAATTCAACCAAGTTATTCGATATTCGATTCACGTTTGATTGAAAGCTCGTTTGAGCTCGGTTTTTGATATTATAATAACCAGTGTTTGGGTAAATATTTTCGTTCGATAAGCTACGAAGCTCGGCTCGAGACTGCTGAACTCGATTTTAAAGAAATAATCTACTTGAGCTCGATTTATGTTCATTTTGATTATAGCTCGTTGGAACTCGCCTCAATTACTTTTTCCAACATACTCAAACACAAAATCGGATATAATTCAATCACGGTTGAACAACCAGATTCATCTATGTATATTTGCTCCAACTAGAAATTGGGAAAAAACCGCTCATATTAAGACACGAAAACAAAAAACCTAATATTCAATATTTTTGTTTTGTAAATACAATCATCCCTCCAACAGTTATTGCTAGTTGCTAACAAAGAAAACTTGACCATATATATCAAAATAACACATAACCCTTTTAAACATAATCAACTCATGATTTAAACCCTAATTTTACTGTTTTTCATCAATTCGCCAATTTTAATCTATGACCCGATTTTGACAGTTGGTTAGCCGGAGTTGACTTTCTTTTTTCTTTTCTTTTTACATAATTCTTTTTTCTTCTCAGCTTTATAATGTTCAAGACCGTCACAAAATTTAACTCTTTTTTCATTTTTTAACTCCAATTTTTTCGTCTATTATTATGTGGCTAAATTTTAATAAAATCTTACGATTATTTTGATAAATTTGTTCCATTGCACTTAATTAGGCAAAATTTATATCAATTTTTTTTTATTATTCTGTTTAGTGTTGCAACAGTTTGTAAACAAACATAAATAAAAGAAACAGGGGCGGCGTACCTATGAGTATGCTTGGGGTGGCCCCACCCCCAGAATTTTTAGTTTTAACAAGTTTTATTTATTTATTTATTTTTATATGTTATTTATGTATAAGTTAATGCACTTTTGCTCTCCAAACTTCAAATTTTATACACTTTAGTCCATAAAAAAAATTTCTCTTAATTTATCTCCATTTCTAGCTCCCCCAAGAAAAAACCCCAGGATCCGCCCTTAGAATACATTGAATCCTAATACATATCAATTTACGATTTGAGTTTTTGATAAATCAATTTGCGATTCGATTTAATTTAACAACAATGATTGTGAGCCTTATACATTGACGCTCATTTTCTTAATCAGTTTGATTGACTTTTTATATATTACTAAGGTGGTGTTTGCAAATGTTTTTTGAAAGTGATTATGCGGTTTTTTTTGCTCATAATCTATTGTTAGGTGTTTGCAAAATCAACTTTTGCTTTTGCTTCTCTTAAAATAATCTGCTTTAAGCTATTTTTTTAAAAGCACCCCTAACCCTGCTTTTTCAATTTTAGTTCATTTTCCGAAATATTTGCAAACACCCCCAACTTTTAGAAATAAACACTTAAAACTAACTTAAATCACAATCACTAACTTCTGCTTTTAAATAATCATTTGCAAACACCACCTAATTAGGATAGTGGACGTGGAGTTAAATGTTAAACCTAATTATTTATATTAGGTAAATTTTAATAATTGATCTGATTAAATAACCATATATTAAACAAACATACAAATGTATATATGCGATTACATATAGATTTACGATTAAAATTCACCTAGTATAAGTACCCAACATCTAATATCGGTGGCCGACGATATAATTTTAAATGGGTTAAACAGTGGTCGGCAAATTACCATATGATATATGTATATTCATTATTCACCATCATTCAAATCCCACGTTAATCAATAATATACCTAGCTAGTTACATCAAATACTTTGACTTTTAAGAAGTTTGACTTTAATTAGTCCGAATATGGCAATAACTTTAATTTGGTAACAATAATATGCTTGGTGATACCTGGTTATTTATATCGTGTGGATTTGAATTGTAGATTTAATTAAATAACTACTCACTAAGCACATATACATATGAGTGTGTGTGATTATGTGTAGATCCACGGTTCAAACCCACCTAATGTAAATAGGCAGGTGTAACATCTAATTTCCCGTCCATGATCATACTTGTGGGCATTTGTGTATACAGTACACTGTACTGTAAGATAAAAGTGACTTAATTTCACTTTGCATCCTTGAAATATAGTATTTTGTCACTTTACACCTTCAAAAATAATTAATAGCACTTTGGTTGCATTGTCCATGATTTTGTTGTCAATGGGTACAAAAGTAACAAAATGCCATATTTTAAAGGTGCAAAGTGGAATTAAGCCAATAAAGTATATATTTTTTTCGACAATTAATTTAAAAAGGAAATAGCACTGTCTAATTACAAATAATATCAAAGCCCATGAATCCAATTATATAGGTTCAATGAGTAAACACTCTCGTATAATAGCTCACAAACTATATGAGAGGCGTAAACTACACCAGACTAAAATTATGTGTCACAAGTTCGACATAGCGACCGCCACCAAGGGATTCGAACCCGGTTCAATTGAAACATGCTTATTTGCTCCAACGTTTAAGTCATCCCTTGTAGAACAGAATATTAATATTTATAAAAAGTGGGCTTCTTGTGCATTCTTATATACAATTGTATAGATTCCCTAGTGCATCTATAAATTATTAAATTTAATTGTCTTGACAAATTTTCGATATTTAAAAAAAAAATCATAAGGGAATATTAAATGAAAAGTTTTTTTTAGGGAATTTTAGAAGAGAAGTTCTTCTTTTTAGGGATTTTAAAAGAAAAGTTAGGTATGATTTTTTTTTTCTATTACTGTCGACTTGATTTTGAAAAAAATGGCAGCTATAAAATCCTAAATTAAAGCAATAGAGGGTGGTATTTAATATAGAGGGTGGTATTTAATTTGATGATTCGTTTACAAACTTAATCATCATCTCTCTTTAAGGTCATATGCCTTATCGGAAATTCTATGCTACACCCAGTTATTAAACAGGGGGATTAATCGTAGATCTACACATATCCATATGTATATATATGTGCTTAGTGAATTATTATTTAATTTTATCTACACTTAACAAATATCCAATATAAGCATATATCTTCCCGACTTTACCTAACCTAGAAACCGTACCTCCGATTCTGGTGTTCAAAGCGATCAATACAAGATCGAGAAACCCACCTAGATATATAAGAAAAGTTATACATCGGAAATTATTTTTTTTCCGACTTTTATTTCACAAAAAATACCGATTAATTATTTGAATAAAACTTACAACTTGTTAATATTTTCTGGTATATCTTCTTTCATCCTATAAATACTAATATTAAAAATCAATACAAGTGGTAATTGTGGTGGCTGGCCATTGAGTTCAGACTATCACAAGTGGTTGATATGGTGGCTATCTATGTAACTTACACTCTTTAATTTCAATACATAACTAAATGTCTATAAAAAGAGATGTACTAAATACAATTATCTCACAACCAATTTTCTTTCATAATCTTTTTAAGTTGTTTCTTGATATTATTAACTTAGCCATGGCAATTCAACATTTTTTTCCCATATTTCTTGTTTCCCTATTATGCCTTTCTCCTATTGGCCATGCCATGAGGGAGATACAGCTGGGTGACGTAATACCGTCACCATTCGATTTTATCAAATTATTACAAGGTTCCGTCAAGGGTGACCGAATCCTAGGTATCAGTGTACTAAAAAACTATCTCCAGAAATTTGGTTATCTCGACAACCTAAATAACACCCAAATCAATAACGAATTTGATGATGCCCTTGAGTCCGCCATCAAAACTTACCAGCAAAATTTCAATATTAACCCCACTGGCGTACTAGACGCTGCAACGGTATCGACAATGATCATCCCTCGATGTGGGGTCCCCGACATCATCAACGGTGCAAACACGATGCAGCCTGCTGGCATAGAAAATCACGAATCAAGCTCGAGCAGCAGCCAGCATGGACATATCCATACAGTATCCCACTACACTTTCTTTTCAGGAAACCCTAAATGGCCGCCATCCAAATATAACCTAACATACGGATTTTTGTCTAATGTACCCGCTAACGCAGTTGCCCCCGCAGAGAGGGCCTTTCAGAACTGGGACAACGCCACCCACTTTACTTTCAAACGGGCTTCCAGCGGTCAAACCGCTGATCTGATCATAGGGTTTCAACGTGGGGACCACGGAGATGGGTCCTCGTTCGACGGCCCGGGCGGGATCCTAGCCCATGCGTTCGCCCCAACCAATGGGAGGCTTCATTACGATGCTGACGAG